CCCTGAGGAGCATCCACCCCAGACCCGGAAAGAAGTCTGTCCTGTAGAGCAGGTCAGCCTTACCTGGATCCACATAGCCATCTCTGCCATTGTCATTCCAGGCTGACACACACCAAAGACTGGGGTCAGATTTCAGGACTGGCAGCAAGGCTCGGAAGTACTCAAAGAAGTCTGGCGCCACCTAGAGCAGGAGATGAATAAGTCAATTTCAGTTTAAAATGACCCCTATCAACAAGTGATTTTAACGGTTTGAAGGATTGAATAATTTAACGGCTGTGAAAAATGGAATGTATAAATTGTTTTTATATCGATATATAAAAGAGCGAACACTTAAATTCATCCATCAGCTTTTTAATCTCGTATAATACTTATGAAAGCATTAACTGAAGCAATTTAATAGTACTAGTTGATGATATGATTACCTCCAGGTCATCCTCTACAATCACAACAGAGGAATGAGAAAGGGTCTTGAACACTTGGTTGAGAGCCCAGCGGTAGTGCCTGGAGATTTTGTAGTAACCCTGAAACTTCTTGTGCTCTGGCCGCACAGCGATATCTGACAAGTCTGGCTGTTTCAGATGAATTACTTGACTTCCATAAGAACGGATCACTTCAGCAGTCTCAGCGTGTCCGCAGTCCTGACTCACTATGATTGGGAAAAGCTCTGCTGAAGGACGGAGCTCCAGGAGTTTGTCCAAGCAGCGCTTCACGGTGACCCTGTTACAGGCGATTACCAGGATAGGAATGACGGGCTGACGCGGGACAACAACCTTCGGTTTGTTTCTGTTTGACGGCTCCCACAATGACTGGTGATTCTTGATCTGCAGCAGGATCTCTTTCTGCCTCTCAAGCTCCGCTTCGAACGTGTCTGCCATTCGGAGCACATCTCCCACCATATCATTAGTGGGCCTTTCAGCCACTTCTCTCTGCCCTCCGCCAGGCTCGTCCGGCTGGCCAGGTGGGGGTCTGCCCCACAGCAGAAGCACCAGTATGGCGTTCCAGGTGATAAACAGGAACGTACCACAAAGAATGAGAGAGCCTCTCTTGCGGAGCATGGCCCAGAAACTCAAAAGGAGGGAGGTGGGTTCAGGAGGACAGGGTTTGAATAGAAAGATGTGTCCTTGTTACAGACAATAGGAATGGGATATGTGAAGGGCAGCCTGTGTACCATCACAAGCACATAATCAGAGACCTGGAGTCGCAGTTTCTTGGCTCACTGGGCAGTTGCTAAAGTTATAAGGACACAATACAGTGTCAACGAGGGCAGAGATGGACAGAAAACGATGAAGGACAGGACTCATCTTTGAGTAAATTTGCATTCGGGCAGATCTTCAACTTAAAATATCCTCTTCCATCTGAAATAATAGAAAAACAAAAGAAGAAGAATTAGCTTTACTAGCAACATATGTGTACATATACAAGGAATCTGAGTTTTTTTTTTGTTGCTTTCACACAAGTAGACAGTCAGCAAAAACAAGCACAACAAAGCTTAGGCAAAGGTAAAACATCTGACTGCTATATACAAATATAGCATACAGCAATGACGTGGTGCAGAGTGCAAATGCTGCTGGAATACTAGATGATTTAAGTGACAGGTTGCTTTATATACACGGCAAGAACATAGTGTACTTTGAGAAAATAAAGGCTGCAATAACAGTGACAATGACGAGAAAGTAACACGTGTGCAACAACACTTTTTATCACGAGTGAAAGCAGGAAACCAGTTTATGATAATGGCTGTTTCGTAGGAAGTCGCTTCATGTGAACTGGAGTGATGATTCACCCAACTGTCCCTGATCGATTTTCTCTTATCACCTGTGGCTGCCTCGCTACAGATACACCAAACTGTGTGTTTTAAGACAGAAAAGAAACAGCCATAGACACCGAGACACCAGCTCGCTGTCCTCCCCGGTGCTAAGCAGACAGGTTATACCCGACAGACTGTAAATACTGTAGCTTGAGGAGGAGCGTGTTGAAATTAGCCCTTACCCTTTGAGCGTGTCTTCTTCTTGTGGCCATTTCTTCGATGACAACCGGCAAACTTAAGCGACACGAGCCGACAGGACGGGTGGAGCTTTTCTCTCGCTAGTTTCCCGAATACTGAAGCAACTTAACACCCCTTCAGTTTCTCTTGTTTCTCGCCAGACTGGAAAAAGAAGGCTGAGGATAAGGAGGAGGAGGAGGAGGGAAAGTAACACGACGACTTCCTGGGTAGAGAGCAGTCACGGGAGGAAGTCCCGCCCTAACTGTCACCTTGAGAAGTTACACAACAGTTTGACGTCTGCGCGGCTCTCTGCGGAGCTAATTAGGAGAACAGTAGCTTGTAATGTCTTTGTCAACATTTACTGTCTGCTTTCACACACCGTGGCGTCGAAATATGGCGATGAAGAGATGTAGCTAATGTAATAACATACATTATCTGTCTGAGCTGCAGAGAGGCTCCTGTAATTTGCATCAGCTGCAAGGGGAAAAAAGGCAAATGTGTTTTGGTTCAATGGAGGAACATGTCTTCCCTTCAGTCTACCTCATGACAAACACTAAAACAATACGTAGCCTGACAGCTTATATATCTGTATCTCTATCTACATCTATGTGTATATAGGTGCATCTCAAAAAGTAGTAGTAAAGTAGTAAAAAATATTTTTTCCCCTTAATTTAATTCAAAAGGTGAAACTTTAATATATTCTACATTCATTAAATACAAAGTGAAATATTCCAGCCTTTTTCCTTTTAATTTCGATTATTATGGCTTAATTAGTTTCCTCAGAAGGGTGGCTGGGCTCAGCCTTGAAGGGTAAGGCGCTTGGACATCTGGAGGGAGCCCCTGCTCCTTCGCGTCTAAAGGGGTCATAAGGTGGTTCAGGTATCTGATCAGGATGCCTTCTGGGCGCCTCCCACTTGAGGTGTTTCAGGCACATCCCACTGGTAGGATGCACGCTGGAGGGATTACAAATCTCATTTGTCCTGGGAACGCCTCAGGGTCCCCCAGGAGGAGCTGGAAAGCGCTGCTGGGAAAAGGGACGTCTGGGGTGCTTTGCTTGGCCTGCTGCTGCCACGACTCAGCCTTGGATAACTGGATGAAAATGGATGGATGGATGGACGGACGGACAGATGGATGGATGGCTTACAGCTCATGGAAATCAAAATCTAGTATCTCCAAATATTAGAATATTACATAAGACCAAACAAAAAAGAATTTATAACACAGAAATGTCCACCTTCTGAGAAGTATGTTCATTTATGCACTCAGTACCTAGTCAGGACTCCTACTGCCTTCATCAACTGCATCAGTGTGGTGTGACATGGAGGCCATCAGCCTGTGGCACTGCTAAGGTGTTATGGAAGCCCAGGTTGCTTCCCACCAGTGTGACATGCCCAGAATGCCTCTACCTGGAGGCGCCCAGGAGGCATCCTGATCAGATGCCCCAACCACCTCAAGTGACCCCTTTCAACACAAAGGAGCAGCGGCTCTACTCCAAGCTCCCTCCGGATGTCCGAGCTCCTTACCCTTCCTCTAAGGCTGAGTCCAGACACCCTTCTGAGGAAACACATTTCGGCCGCTTGTATCCGCAACGTCATTCTTTCGGTCACTACCCAGAGCTCGTGACCATAGGTGTGGGTTGGGACGTAGATGGACCAGTAAATCGAATGCTTTGCCTTCATCAACTGCATCAATGCGGCGTAACATGGAGGCCATCAGTCTGTGGCACTGCGAGGTGTTATGGAAGCCCAGGTTACTGCAGCCCCCAAACCACAACTTGCTTCTCCAGTGAGACACGCTTGGAGGCACGTCTTACAAAGCTAGCTCATTGCATTATGGTTAGTAATACCAGACCAGACCAGTCTAGATTGTTTTGGTGTGAGTTGCAGAGTGTTTGAGAAATCAGCCGTAGAGATGTCTGCCTTCTCTCCAATATAATGTAACTAGATGGCACTCAGCTTGTGGTGCTCAACGCAACAACAACAAAAACTTTGAAAAACTCAACAGCAATGTCTCTCAACAGAAATCATGATTACTTACTTAATTATTACTCGAGATAATCCACAGACCTTGTTGTGAGCAGTTTCATGTAGGAACTATTTTCTTTCTCCCGAACTACACCTGCCAACTGTATCATCACGCAGAAGGAAGTGTGCATCTACTAAAAGCTCACACAGCACCACAGAGCTAGCTAACTAGCTAGCTAACGCTTCCTTTTGCACAGTGATACGTCGGCGGGTGCAGTTTGGTAGAAAGAAAATAGTTCCTACATGAAATGGCTCACAACAAGGTCTGTGGATTATCTTTAGTAACTGGCTCATGAATTCTGGAATAAGATATGGCTGTTGAGTTTTGCAAATGTATAGCACTGCAGGTAGGAGAAAAAACATGTATTTTGATTTTAGGAAAAATTGTACATACATAGGTATTAACAGAAAATGTTCTGTTAATACTTGTGTCTCAGAAACTGATATGTAAAATCTTATTTCTAAAGTGACTTGAGCTTTCAAATAACTGCATCTTTGTAGAGTAAAAATGACCATAAATCCTCTAAAATATAGCAGAGTACAAATATAAAGAAGCATAAAATGGAAACACCCAAGTAAAGTGCCACAAAACTCTACTGAAACACAGTAAAAAGTTAATTAAATGTATTTAGTTGCTGTCCACCACTGCTAATATTGCATATATCATAATGTAACACTGACAAACATCATTCTGCTGCACAGTGAGTACTTTTACTTGTGATCCTTTCAGTTCATTTTGCTGATAATACTTCAGTGCTTTCACTTGTGAGGATTTTTAATGCAGGGCAGAGTACTTTTACGTTGTTGTACTGCTACTTCTTACTAAAGTAAAGGATCTAAATTCATTCTTCCATCATGACTTTGTACAGCACATCCTTAAAAAAGGTGGAAAGTGCATTATGCAAGTGGCTTAACACTGGCGCTTATATTTTTAGTCCAAAATATTGCACATTGAAAAAAAAAAAAACAATCAAACATCTTAAAAACACAAGTGGAAGGAATAAGTATTCCACATTTATAGTTTTTTTCTCAGACTTGAATATTTCCATTTGGTGAGATGATATTCCATGTTTGCAAAATAAGCTTTTGGACAAAACATACAGGGTAATATTGAAAATAAAATGCACTGCCATTATTTTAGGTATCCACCAGGAGGCATAGGTGCTAGAACAGCGTTTCATGTTTCCCCTGTACTTCTTTCAGTATGGCTTACTTTTCCTCAGAGCAAAACAAATTCTCTAAAAACAGCTTTTATGACTGGGTTGAAGTCCAAATGTGCTTTGTGTATTGTGAAAGCAAAGTAAAGTCAATAAATAAGGTTAGATCACAGTGTGTATTTTTGGTGCCGAGGCCTTGGACTCTCAGTCAGGTCTGTCCTCTGGGATCATTTGTCCAGAGTTCTCCTTGGAGGAAATGAGGTCAGTGGGGCTGTGGATGTGTCCATTTGCCTGAAACAAGACGTTTAAAATGATTTCACAAGGTCTGTAGTAACATGTATTATTATAAAAGTATCACATTAAGTGTTGTGACACTCACCTGCAGGGTATTATTTCTGATGTTTTGCTGTGTATCATCAGGGCTGCTGCTGGATATCCACAACACCGCCAGCTTCAATAACATAAACTCTGACACCAGAGCTGTCAAAGACAAACAGGTGCTCTTCAGTGTTGACCAGCCAGTTATCACGAAAGACGGGATTTGTCCTTCATTTCCCACCAAACATGGAGACATAATGGACACTTTGAAAACGCCAGCTGGGAAATCACTGGTCTCCTGAACACATATTATTTGACAGATGTGTGTAGCATATGTTTTGTATTTAATCTTTTGAAGATTATGTGAGTGTGTGAGTCTACGTGCCAGCTGACGCACCAGCGCGTTTTGGACACTGGGCACAGCTGAGCGCGCGTCCCGTGCGGATTGCGAAAGTTTTGGGTGACATAATTTATTAATTTCCCTGCAATCTTTGTCCTTCACCCGGGGTGGCGACTTAAACGCCACAGTCAGTCTTCTTCCCACCAGAACACGGTCTCCTTGCAGGAAAGCCTCCCACGCTGTCGCCTGGTTTGACCGGGCGCGCTCAGCTGGCGAGCCGCCGGCCAGGCCGAGGCTGTACGCAGAGGAGGCAGGCCGCTTGGTCGGCGGATTCCTGGTCCAGATATTTCCGCGACACCGGAGAACAGCAGACAAAGCTGAGGCGGAGGGTGTGGAAGCCATGGTGGTCGATGATATCCACAACAGTCTGCTTCTGTTTCCCCTCTAAGGTTTCTGATGTCCAACCTCTTTCCAAGCAGTCACATAACATATAAAGGTTAATTTGCGTAAGGAGTGGATTGGGGGGGGGGGGTCTTTGAGCTCTGGTGGACCCGACCATATTTGGGGTCACAGGTGGGTGTGTCTTAAGGGCAATGTGAGGAGGGGGAGGGGGGGGGGGGCACTTAGAAGTAGTTATAGGCTAGTGGAAGCAAAATGCATCAGATTCTATAGGCTGATGACTGGTGGAATTTACTACATTTACCCAAATACTGTGTTTTGAGGTAAATGTATGTTTTGTTGGGTATTTCCATCTCTCCTACTTGGTAGCTACTTCTACTCCTCTGCTTTTCACAGGGAAATACATGCACTACATTTACTGGTAACCATTCTTTTTAGATTTTACATTAAAGGAGCAGTGTGTAAGAATTAGGGGGATTTAGTGGCATCTAGTGGTGAGGACTGCAGATTGCAACCAGCTGAAACTGCTCCCGGTTAAAATTCCCTCAGTGTTTACTGCTCAGGAGGTTTTTACTGGGAGCCAAATTATCCGCAGAGGTCTCTTCCTCTCCAAAACAAATGGACCCGGTGATTTAATCTGGTAAAAACACTGAATACAGCAGTTTAACATTAACCATTGTTGAAGCCACAATAACATTATTTGTATTTGTTTTGTTCTACATGTAAATAAATGTAGTTTTGTTGTTTGTACATGTGGTGGTGCACTCAGACAGGAAAATGCAGGTGATATAGGTGATGAGCAGCAAGTGTGTGACGGGGGAAGCAAACAGTTTTTTGACTGTGTTAAGTGTGGCAGTATGAAGAGTTTGTGGCGTGTTGAAACTGAAATTGTTGAATGGACACTTACCTGTGATGGACTCTGAAACTGTTGAGTGGAAAATTACCTGAGATGAATTATGGACAGACAGTGTTTTTACCTATGTGAAGGTGAGCACGTGTGAAAATAAATGGGTCGTTGCACTCAAAGAAACCTGACGAATTGGACATTGGTTTATTGTTGTTGCCCAGAACACGCGTCTGAACAATTTCTTCCCGTTCTCCCCTCAGAGTCCTATTTTATTGATAGACTCTACACTAACTACGGTGGCCGACATGAACATGCAAAAATGCGAGTGGCCCTAATTAGAGCCAGTGTTTGGTTTGTCTGTTCTAGGCTACTGTAGCAACATGGTGGTGCAACATGGTGGACTCCAGTGACAAGGTGCCGCTCCCTGTGTAGATATAAATGGCTCATTCTAAGGTAACGAAAACATGATTATTCTTATTTTCAGATAATTATACACCAGAGAAAACATTCTTCTTCTTTTTTTTATTATTATTACTATTATCATTATATTATATTTCAGATGTCCATGAGTTGTTAGCAGATCCACCCCAGATGGTTTCATTGAAATAACTGCTCATTTTTAAAGCAGGGATACGATACAAATACAACACAAACTTGTGAACTTGTGTTAGCAGAGCTTTGTTTTTTTTTCTTCTCTCAAGACCATTTAGCACCTCAGAACCCTTTTGTAAATAATGTAGTAAAAACTAGTTGCACCTGGACCAGGTACAACAGTTAAATGCTTCTTACTCACTGAAATATCAATGCTAACAGTCTAATTAACGTATCAGTCACAGGGGCCATTGTGCAGCAGGACGAGTACTTTTACTTTTGATACTGGAGGTAAATTTACCGTATGTTTAGTTTTGCGAATGCAGGACTTCTAATTGCAATCAAGTATGTTTACGTTGCAGTGTTGGTACTTTTACTTAAGTTAAAGATCTGAATATTTCCTGCCTGATCATTTGCTTTTTTATTTAAACTCGTAATCTCCAAAATAACTGTCTTCTCTGTTAAAGTGGAAGTTAAGTTAAGTGCAAGTTACAGAAACTGTACTTGAGTAAATGTACTTAGATACTTTCCCCCTCTGTCTTCAGGGCAGGCAAGTGTAAGTCTTCTCTGTACATCGTTATATAACGTTTATGCTGTTTCTAACTTGCCTCTCAGTTTCAGGGGGGACACAGGGGACACATTTGCTGCCCTGAATAAAAACATAAAAGTAGCAGAGGACTTTTATCTTGACCAAATTACAGACATTTACACTATGACTTGATGCAGAGAGGGCACAAATTGGTACCTAAAAAATCACCAGACCGCAGGAAATTAGGTTGATGTTCAAACTTTTCTGGCAGGGGACCCCATCCCCCCTGTTTCACATGTGTCAATGTCAAGACAAAACCTACGCCCTTGAAGGCAGCTGCAGAAAACTCAGCTGAAGCAGATAAGCTGAACGACTGCAGGGGGGACAGACTTAAAATCATGTTTTGTCCACACCTCACCAAAGAGATGAATTGCATAAGCACCCAGAAGGAAATGTCATGACGGTAAAGACACTTGTGTTGTCAAGCAGGTTCGTCCGCCTGAAGAGCACAGAGGAGCAGCCAAGGAGGAATTCAGAATTCAAGCCACCACCACGTTAACTGGACTGTTTACACCACTAGAGGGTATCAGGTGTCTGAAGAAGACATGGGGGTTCCTGAAGGCAACAGGCAACAAACAAATCTGTTTTGGGTCAGCAGAGGACAAGTGTCATCAAAATGGACAAGTAGTCCCCTCTATACTGTACTCACAGAGAGAAAGGAGAACAAAAATCCAGTTAGTTTATAGAAATAAAGTTGTTACCATGTGTTTTGGAAAGTGGAAATTTTCAGTTTTCAAATCTGGAAATTGGGAAATGAAGCAAAGAGCTTTAAATGTCTAAATAAAATGTTTTATTTGATGATAAAATTGGGATTAAAGTCTATTCTTAGGCGTGAAAATATATACAAATATATAAATCATCTATGGCTATGTACAAACAGTTGGTTTATAAACAAAAGCAGTAAGAACTAAAAACCCTGAACTGGTTACAGAAGTCAACCTGATGAAATCAAATGATACTCAAGTCCTTTCATCAGAGTTAAGTGCATTTAAACATTTACAGCTTATTATTCGTTATGGACAGATTCTAAACACGCACAGTGCTTCTGGCTTTCACAGTAATCACAAGCATGTTCAGAGAAAACAAGTTTTCCCTGTTCATTCCCCACATCTTTGAGCCTGTGTTTCCTTCCTTTAAAGAAATGTCGCTACCCTTGTTTCCCTTCATTTCTTCACTTCACCACACTGCGAACCGGACTGAATGTGTCCCAGTGCTTAGTTTTTCCTTCACCAAGAGGACAAAAGGAGGCAAAAGCATCACTGAGAGTCACGATGATATTCTCTCGCTCCACTTGAGTCTCATCTCCACAAATTGTCCACCCCTGACCCTCCACTCAGGGTCTAGTCTCTGGAGTGAATGCACCTGGTGTGCCTTGTGACGTTGTGTTCCCTGGAGGAACAGGCCTCCGGTGAACAACCACATTCGGTATGATAACAAACGCCAGAATCCCCACCAGCATGAGCGCCACTGTGATGGTGATGATGGACGCCACCACGACGTAGTAGCACTGGTCTGACCGAAACAACCTGCGCAGGCGACCTCTGACCCTGTTTGGAGGCCTGCCTACATCCACCACAGTGGTTGGGGGTATTCCCTGCTCCAGTGCAGCCATATTGAGGTCACCACCTGCCGTCATCTGGGCCTCCTGGCTCTTTTGGGGCAGGGTGAGGATGTTAGACTTGGTCGGGCTGGTGGGAGGAGGGTTCTTCAGGAGCAGTTTGCCCTTGCTGCGCTTGAAGCGGATGGACAGTGCTCTCTGCATGTCCGGTGGCAGTTTGCCTATGATGTCCTGATTGTTGCCGAGGCGAGGCAGGTCCTGGCCGTGGGGGAGGTCGGTCAGCTCACGACATACAGGGCAGCACAGGGTCTTGAGCTCAGGGGAGGTCACGTTGATGCGAGCGAGGCACTCCAGGCAGAAGGTGTGCCCGCACGCCAGCAGCTTTGGGGTCTTGAAGATGTTATCGTATGAGCAGAAACACACAGCGCACTCTGTTTCCTCCACATCATCTTCAGGGGCCTTCACCTTCCTCCTGTCGCTCTCCCCATCTTTCCTGTGTGGTCTCTGGGCCTCCTCGCTCCTTCCCCGCTCCCTCCTCTCCCCCTGGTGCCTGTCTCGTTCTCTCCTCCTGCCTCTTTCCGCCCTCTCCGAGTCGGTGCTCCTCGACCTCCTCACTTTTGCAGGCTTCTCCCTCTTCAACATGTCCTCCTTGCTGTTCCTCTCTCTCTGGCTGAACTTGGGTTTAACATTTTGAGCCTGCCTGGCTCCGTGGCTGTGTCTGTCCCTATCATCACTCATGTTGGAGGGGTGATGTTAGAGGTAGAGTGCTGGCTGGAATCTGATTCACAGGTTCCTGACAGGAGCTGTGGAAAATCAAACACTGGTTAAGTGTACTGGCTCCCAAAAAAACAGCAGAGCAGGAAACAGACTGTTGGAATCCACCTGCACGGCCGTCACTGCTGCTTCATGATGATGAAGCAATTACACCTAATCTGTTGCTATCTAACATCTCTATTGTATCAAAATGCTATCTGTTGATTTTGTTCATGTATTCAACATGCATGCGCAGCTTTTGCCTTGATAATGAGTTGCTCTATTTGTTTAATAGGCTTTCCTGCAAACACGTCTGTAGCAAGAACAGCAGAACTGGAAGTGCTTCAAATAGATTTTGGCGAGTGGAAATCTTTGTGATCCAGCTAGTGTGTTGAAACCTGTAAAATAAAACTAAAGCAAGGGTGACACTGGTGTGCAGCATGGCTTCATTGTTCTGAAATGTCACAGCAAGCATTCCACCATACCCATCCATCTTGCATAGTCAGTCATTAACTCAAAGTTTGTCTGTCCAGGAGGCACACAAGGAACAATTAATCCCTTGACAAAGTTTAAAAAAAAAAAAAAGTACATGTTGACATTTGCAACAAGTTTAGGTGTTGGTACAGGTGTACAAGTTCTTGTTTGTGAAGGATTTAGGGGCTTTGAAATAAGTAAATTTTGCCGGCTAAGCAGAGAAAAAGTTGACAAAGAACAGGAAAGTAAATAATTGGACAGAATTCGTACGCACACACTGACCTGCTGAGGTAGATGA